GTGGTCACCAGGTCGCACTTCTGCGAGGCCTCGAACTCCAGCACAGCCGAGTCCCAGATGAAGGCGTGCAGCTTGCTGTGGGGACAGGGTGCCTGGGCCTGGCGATCGGCCACCATCGCGCCCCCACTGCTGCGTCGTCCCCACCGGCCTCTTGCATATCCCAGGCGGCTCTGGACACTCCCTTTAGCCATCTGGGCAGCGGCCTTGGCCCCATGCTGGCGTCACCCCTTTCCAGCCCCGAGCCCGTCTTGTCCCAGCTCAGCTCACGCCCGCCCCGCCCCGGCCTGACCCCCTGCAGGCGCCGCCCGCCGCCGCCGCCTGCCCTCACTTGTCCCGCACGGCCTGGATGGCCTCCGCGGCGCTCTCATAGTTGTGCTTCTCCATGTGCCGGTACATGGTGCTCAGCTCCACCTGCCGCCGGAAGTAGATGTCCACCGAGCTCTGCTTCACCGTGGCGTAGATGAACTTGTCCGACGGGTTCCGCAGCTGCCGGTGGGGGGCGCAGGCTCAGGGGGAGCCCCAGGCCCACCCACTGACCCGCCTCCCTGCCCTCACAGGGCCTTGCCTCACCCGGGGGTCATTGATGCCCGTGATGCGCTCCTCTGGCCGGTCCAGCACCAGGAAGGCCGCCAGGTTAGCGGTGTAGGAGGCCACGATGATCATGGCGAAGCCGGCCCACACCATCCCCAGGATGCGCGCTGAGAAACTCCGGGGGGCGCCTGCGGCAGAGAAGTGTCAGCTTTTGGAGGGCGGCGGGGCGGCGGGACGCGGCCCGTCGGGACCTCACCTTCGCCGATGCCGGAGTTGAGCAGGACTCCCCAGGAGAACCACATGGCCGAAGAGAGGGTCAGCGCGTCCTCCTCCTCCTCCTCGCTGTTCACCTTGAACCGGCCGAAGGGGCTGCGGGGCACAGAGCGCGGGCGGGAGAGGGTGGGAGAGGCCGTCCTGCACGCCCTCGCCGGCTCCGCCCGCCCGCAGGTGGAGTGTCCGGCGCCCCGGCCACGCTCACCTGAAGCGATCCAGCAGGTACAGCATCACGGCCACCACGTGCACCGACAGCCCCACGAGCAGCCACAGTGTGCTCTGGAAGGGCTGCATGAACGAGTCCAGCGTGCTCCGGGGGATCTCCTGCAGCGGGCAGGCCGTCAGCGCCCCGAAAGGCCGCGCAGCCCCGCCGGCCCAGCCCCGCCGGCCCTGCCCACCTTCTTGACCAGAATGGTCAGGCCCTGGTACTTGAAGGGCTTGGAGAACTCTATGTACTGCGCCCGCTCATTGTTGATGGTCAGCGGCGCCACGATCATGTCCGCCTGCCCGCTGAGCAGCTCGCCCATCATCCCGTTCCACTCCTTCTTATTGCTGTTGTTTACCTGTGGGGCGACGGGGACAGGATGCCATCGGCCCCACCGGCGAGCTGGGCCCCCGCCCTCGGCCATCTCGGGGACCGCCGCCCCAGGGCCCGCCCCAGCGCAAGAGGCCCTGCCCACTAGCAGGCCACC